TGATTTCTGCAGGTAAACTTAAGGATGAAGGGTATTGCAACACTTTCAGTGATGGCCGGTGTAAGCTCACTAGGGGTGCTATGGTTGTGGCTCGAAGCATGAAGCATTCTGCACTGTACGTTCTGCAAGTAAAGATCTCCAACAACATTGTTAATGCGATGGAGGATAATGATACAACAGAGTTGTGGCACAAGAGACTGGCTCACATGAGTGAGAAAGAATTAGCTCTACTTGGGAAGAAAAGTCTACTATGTGGACTAAAAAGTACACTTCTTAAAAGGTGTACTCATTGTTTGTCAGGGAAGCAGAGCAGAGTCTCCTTCAAGAATTCCCCTCATTCGAGAAAGTCAGAGATGCTGGATTTAATACATTCAGATGTGTGTGGCCCTATGAAGACAAGAACATTTGGTGGCTCCAGATACTTTGTGACCTTCATAGATGACCATTCAAGAAAGTTGTGGGTATATACCTTGAATTCAAAAGACCAAGTGTTGGCAGTATTCAAGCAATTCCAAGCCCTAGTTGAGAGACAGACTGGGAAGAAACTAAGATGCATTCGTACTGATAATGGCGGAGAGTATTCTAGTCCTTTTGATGAGTATTGTAGACAGCAGGGTATCCGGCATCAAAAGACAACTCCGAAAACTCCTCAGTTGAATGGTGTAGCAGAAATGATAAATAGGATACTGGTTGAAAGAGTGAGATGTTTGCTTTCACAAGCCCAGTTGCCAAAATCCTTTTGGGGGGAGACATTGAGCACAGTTGTTCATGTGTTGAACGCTGTGTTCCTCTACAGTTTGATGTGCCAGACCAAGTTTGGACAAGTAAGGATGTTTCCTATAATCATCTACGTGTTTTTGGGTGCAAAACATTTGTGCATATTCCAAAAGATGAAAGGTCCAAACTTAATGTGAAAACGCGACAGTGTATATTCCTTGGCTATGGCCAAGATGAGTTTGGGTACAAGCTTTATGATTCAGTTGAGAAGAAAATTGTGAGAAGCAGAGATGTCGTGTTTATAGAAGATCAGACGATTCAGGATATTGAGAAAGCAGGGAAATCTACGTCTCAGCAAGGTGATATCTTGACTAACGTAGATCCAGCTTTTCTGAAGAATCTGCCAATTCAGGTTGAGAATGATGTTCAGGATGACCACCAGTGTACAGGTGATGTGGATGTTCTTTTACAGGTTTAGGGAGATGTTGAGACTGATGAGCAGTTGATAGCGCTAGAGATTCCACCAGAGATTCCATACAGGAAGTCTCCCAGAGACCGACGTCCTTCCACTTGGTATTCAGCAGAGCAGTATATGTTATTGATTGATGGGGGAGAGCCCCAGTGTTTTGCAGAAGCCATAGAAGATGGACACAAGACAGAGTGGGTTGAGGCCATGCAAGATGAGATGCAGTCATTGCATGATAACCACACTTTTAAGTTAGTAAAGTTACCTAAAGGAAAAAGAACTTTGGAAAACAAGTGGATTTACAGGAAGAAGCCAAATGGGTTCTCTTTACGGCCACGGTACAAAGCTAGATTGGTTATCAAAGGGTTCGGTCAGAGAAAAGGTATTGACTTTGATGAGATCTTCTCTCCAATCGTAAAGATGTCATCGATCCGTATATCACTCGGCCTAACAGCTAGTCTTGACTTGGAAGTTAAGCAGATGGATGTGAAAACTATCTTCCTTCATGGTGATTTGGAGGAAGAGATTTATATGAAGCAGCCAGAGGGTTTCAAAGTGAAAGGGAAAGAGGATTATGTGTGCAAGCTGAAGAAAAACCTATATGGTTTGAAACAAGTACCAAGACAGTGGTATAAGAAGTTTGAGTCTGTTATGGAGGAGCAAGGCTACAAGAAGACAACTTTTGATCACTGTGTATTTGTTAAAAAAAAATTCTCTGATGATGATTTTATTATTCTACTGCTTTATGTGGATAACATATTGATTGTTGGCAAGAATGCTTCAAGGATTGACTAGTTGAAGAAGCAATTGAGTAAGTCATTTACTATGAAGGATTTGGGGCCAGCAAAGAAAATTCTTAGCATAAGAATCAGTCGTGACAGGAGTGCCAAGAAGTTATATTTGTCACAGGAGGAGTACATTGAAAAAGTGCTTCAGAGGTTTAATATGGACAACACTAAAGTGGTTAGCTCTATTCTTGCTACCCACTTCAGACTGAGTACAAAGCAATGTCCTTCTACAGATAAGGAAAGGGAAGACATGGAAAGAGTTCCTTACGCCTCAGCAATAGAAAGTTTGATGTATGCAATGATTTGCACAAGACCAGATATAGCCCACGCAGTTGGTGTAGTTGGCCGATTCTTGTCAAATCAGGGAAAAGAGCATTGGAATGCAGTGAAGTAGATCATGAGGTATCTTTGAGGCACTTCCCGTTTGAGACTTGGTTTGGGAAACGGACAACCATTGTTAGTTGGTTATATAGATGCAGATATGGCAGGGGATGTGGATACTCGTAAGTCTACTTCGAGTTATTTGATCACTTTTGCAGGTGGGGCTGTAGGTTGGCAATCGAGACTTCAAAAGTGTATTGCTCTTTCTACAACAGAGGCAAAGTTTATTGCAGCAACGGAAACGACTAAAGAGTTGCTATGGGCAAAGAAGTTCTTGAGAGAACTTGGTTTCAAGCAACAGAGGTATGTGTTATTTTGTGATAGCCAGAGTGCTATTCATCTTGCTAAGAATTCCAGTTTCCATGCAAGATCTAAGCACATTGATGTACGATACTATTGGATCAGAGATGCGTTGAACAATAAGTTACTTGAACTTGAGAAGGTTCATACTGATGATAATGGTTCTGATATGTTGACAAAGACCCTACCAAGAAAGAAGCTTGAAGTTTGTTGTTCGATCGCCGGGATGGCGATTGCCTCCACATAGTGGAAAGGGGGAGATTTGTTGGGTTTATTTCCTTCTATATGGGGGGGGGGGGGGGGGGGGGGGGGAAAGCCCAAGTGGATTTTATTAAAGCCCAAAGCCCAGCTCTTTAGGGTGAATAAAAAGATAGGGAGATCAGCCGTAGTTTTTTACAAAAGAAAGAGGAAAAACACAGTTTTTCCATATACTGCCCAAGTTTCATCAAACCTCCGATCCCCGCTTCGTCCGTGGTCCAATCGAACTGAAATTTGGAGGAGAGGTTCACGACTTAATGAGTTAAAATCTGAACAGTGGAGATTGGATTTTGAGCTCGGGAATAATGATTCATGCCCATGAACAGTAATCGGGTTTTTGGTATTTTTCTCTCCAATTCTCTTTGTTTTTTGCCAAGATTGGTGATATCTTGATAAGATGTATTGTAGCATCTAATTGTGATTAGAGAAAACTTTGTGTACCCATTATTTGGTTGATAGTAGAGATTTCAATTGGACTAGGTCCCGTGATTTTTCTTCCTCACACTGGGGAAGTTTTCCACGTAAAAAATTGCTTGTGTTTTTGTGGCTTGGTGTGATTGATTATTTTTCTATTATTTTCAGCACATATAAAAGTAGAGATACATTATACTTGCTTGCATATAGGGAGAAGAGTTATTCCGCTGTATTTGTTTATTGTTATCTTTCTAAACAAAGATAACTTTTCACCTCCCAAATTTTCTTATAATGAGAATTAGTGTTTAAAAGTGCCTAAATATTTATAGGACAGATTTATAAAAAGTAAGATTAGGTGGGATTTTACATCTTTTTTTTTTTTTTTTTTTTTTATTTTTTTTATTTTTTTTCCTTCCCTTCTTATGTGGCCCCCGAGTTACAATTTGTTGATAGAAAATGCTAACATTCATTTTAAGAGTTAGAATTTGTTGATAGAAAACGCTACATTTCATTTTAAGAAGCACAATCCGTATGATTATATGAATCTTAATAATGACTTTCAAAATGATCTGAATTTGCGCTATTTCATGGTTCAAAATCAATTGGTAACACTTTATTCAGAGTTTGTTTTAGTAAGCCATTTTTTAAAATTTGAATTCCAAAAAATAAAAAAATTAAAATTAAAATTAATCATACATAAAATATTGAAGGAAATTTAATAATGACTATCATGGAGTCTCCACATCCGTTTGATCTGAGAGCCAAAGCTGCTGAAGCACGAAAGCACAGAATATAAAAAATTTCTAATCTCTTTCTTTTCTTGCTATTTTCATTTGCCTAAGAGTAACTTTCCAATTTACAACTGCGTTTGAATGTTTGATGGAACCAACTTGAGTTAAATATATATATATATATAGATATATATATAGACCACCCACACATACAGTATATAAATTGGTTAAATATACCAATATTGTCCTTACTGTACCAAGCTCCTACTTCTCAAAGAGAGGCCAGGAGTTCGAGCCTTAGTGGAGGCACTAGGGGAAAAAAAAAAATTGGTTAAATACATATTATATATTTATACATATATAAAGTTTTTCACATTAATATTTTTCTCCCTTATAATATAGTAGGCATGACATTTCTTTAATTATTGGGGTTCAGGTTCTTTAGAACCGTAAATATCATATATATATATATATAGCACTAATATTTAAAGTAAAATCCTCCAATTGAGTCCAACATAAAGGACATTTTTGGTTCAATTTTTTTTATAAACAGTTCTAAAAAATGTCAAAAATACTAATTTATTGTCTTTTAAAAAGCAATGTCTTTTTTTTTTTGGAAAACAATTTTCAAAAATAGTTAACTAAACATATTTTTGTACGTTTTACCTGATTTTCACAAAATAAAATAAACAAAAAGACAATTACAAAACAGACCCTCAGATCTGGCCTAAGCTATCTCGTGGGCTTATTGGAGAAGGGCCTAATCCATGAGCTAAAGGTCCAAGCCTAAAAGCGTTCGGGATTACCGGATAAGTATTATTTATTTGTTTATGAGAAGGTTGCAAATAATTTGGCTACTTTGAAGTTTGTTAACCAAACCAATCCCTATTCATTTTCTTTTTCTCTCTTCTTGTTTCACATCATTTTTTGGGATTTCCATAAAATTTAAAAATATCATTTGGAATATCTATATATATATATATATATATATATACTTCACCCGCTGGTTATTTTTGGACTCTCAATAGCTTGCAAACTCTGGATCAAGGCAATCACCCACAAAAAGCGTGCATCATTTAAACTCGGCCCTCTCAGGTGAGACTCTAACCGGAGACCCGGCCCATTCTGGCTTAAATTTAAATCCAACAAGTTTGTCTAGCTTTCTTGCAGATTAAATCGAAGTAAATAGTTTTCTTTACCCAGTCAAAGAACACGATTGCCATACAAACTCAAATCGGTTCAAATTGTATGGCAAGCTTCTAGTATATCAGGTGTGAATCACGCATTCTCATCCGTGGTGCAGTGAGGTGGATAACGAAACCCTAGAAACAATGAATCACTTATTAGCAACTAAATATTCCTTTCGGAAGAAGACCATTTTCATCCCATAGCAAGAGAATGTGCAACAAATAATAGCTAATTTGAGAAAATGAGGATTGAATACATAAACCTAAGAGGCAAAGCAAAACGAAACAACATGAAAAGTTCCGGGCCAAGGAATTACTCTACACTCTACAGAAGTTACATGGCATTTTCTTGGTCTTCTGTTTCAGCATAACATATAGACATTTGTGGTCATAATGGTATCACCATTTCAGGAATTGCAACTAAGAAATTTTTACTACTACTCTAGTACCTAAAATATTTCCTTTTTATCACACCCCACCTTTTCGGGTCTTTTTCCCTTGAGAAACAAAACAAAAAGGATAGAACAGCTCCAATATTTTGTTCATATGCACATTCAGTTATACACATCAGCAGGCACACTCAACACCACCAAGAAAACATCAGCATCAAGAATCTGAGTTTCAAGGTTTAGACTGAGGACAGCAGTAGCAGTAATTCAATAATGGATGGCAGCCAACCTTACCCCATCTTGGAGACGACGAATGCGACAAAGACCAATCAAATATAGGATGACTACCAAAGCGGTAGCACAGTAGTCGAAGAAGTCTACAGCGGCACTCAAATCCCCTGTAGAACAGCAGCCATCAGTTTAGAAATGAAGATATCACACATTGAGCAGAATGTCTAGGACCGAGGGATTTGAGTCTTGCTCTCTCCCATCGTCTAAAAACACAAACAAATTACCACTGAGATAGATCTTTAACCAGATAGACTAATAGATAGATGCTCATGAGGTGGAATGCGACCCATTCATTTTGCATCTTAATCTTTTATTTATGGGTTAATTTCATTGACACCACCTGACCCTGAGGTTTGGACAAATCTCACAAGGAGACATGTTTCGAAAATTTCTATCACTCGCATTACAATGACTTGACCCTTTTTAGCTCATGCCCGAACGTCACTTTTTAGTAGTGTCAGAGTACTTTTTGTATGTAAAATGACATTATTACCCATTTGATTTTGTGTTGACTTACTAATAGGTTATTTTATGTATAAAATGACATTTCTACCCCCCTCCTCTCTTTCTTCTCTCACTAAATATATATATATAAATATATATTATATCTTATTGAGAAATGCTACAAATTAAAGCCCAAAATTATATATTTACATAAATAATAATGTTAACATTAAATAAAAAATTAATTAAATATTAAATATATTCAAAAATTAAATAAATTATATATACATTTTTATTTAAATATATATGTTAAGAAACTTTATATTAAATATGCTAATAAATATGTATATATATATATATATATACATACATATATATACCTGATGAGGGCAAATTTGTCCTTCAAGTTTACAGATATTTGAATTAAAATTGACTAAAAATATGCGGGTAAAATTATCATTTCGCGCATTTTTAATGGTAAAAGTGACGAAAAAGTCATTTGGGGTCACAAAGAGAGTAATTTTCGAAAGGTGTCTCCATGTGAGATTTGTACAAACCTCAGGGGTGTCAATGAAATTAACCCTTTATTTATTTATTTTTGATAAGTCTATCTTGATCTTTTATTTTAAACTCATGTGCATAGGAAACTGTACTTCTAATAGTTTGAGTGCTACCAAAAATTAAAATTGAAGCAAAATACCTATTTTAGGGAAGTCAAAGGAGCAGAAACTGTAGAGGGCAGCCAGCGATATCTGCAAAGAAGTAAAATGGTAATCAAAATTTGCTTGAAGTAAAAAACAGACAAGAAGCGAATGTTCAGAAGAAATCTTAGTAAAGTTATTGAGTTTTACTTGCTAGGCATCAAGTTATCGATGCTTACTCTATGAAGTTTTCATAATTGCAAGCAGTAATTGCTGGCACACACTGCATTCACCTTAATTTCAAACCTAATTGCTAATTGGCACCACCAGAAAGCTTCTAGAAAAACTAAATAAAATCTTAGCTCCATTATGACAACTCCCATTCTATGATTTAAACTCTAAGCTGATATTTACAGAGTAACTGCATGAACAGCTTGTACAGCAAAACATGCTACTTAAGTATTCTTTTTGACAAAAGATGTATTCTTTTATCATAAACAGGTACTACAACAAGATATAACTTACTTCATTTATGAAAAAGGAAAATTACTAGTCTATTTCGCATGTCTAGGAAACATTTCGATGCAAAAATACATAACTACAGAAGTAATGAAAAAAAATATTTACACATAACATTCAATTTGTATAACTGTTGGATAAACTTACTGCAACAAAGCATAATTTGTGAAGGTGATGAAATATTCTCTTGATGATCAGTGGTAACACAAGTCCCTTCTGCAGAAAAGAAAGGAATAAAAATCTAAATGCTTAGTAAGAACACCTTCATACTTGCTTAACACATGATTGCCTCTCAAAAATAATGAAATACTCAAGACAGGTTTAGCCATGTATATGAAATAAACAAAATGGTCATGCACCTAACACTGTAGATCTAAAAGCATGTGTTCGCCAACTAAATAACACTCAATCCATACACTGGAAACATATCTTTTTGTGAAAAGATTATATTAAATATGATACAGAACATTGAAAATTAATATTCTAATCAGACTTCACATGAATTCATGAATATTTAAACAATTCAGATAATGATAAGTAGGTAGTTTCATCAATGTTTATATCAAGTAAATTTACTAGTTACTACGCTATGATGATATAGTACTAATATCTCAAATGAAATGACAATTATCGTCCTTTGTCCTTGGAATAATCATCACCAATGGAATATTGACTGAACAGACAACACATTCAACTTCTTAAGATTATCCATGAGCCCTTTGAACCAACCATTCTCAACTACTAAGAAGCTCACCACATTTTTTTTTTTGCTTTCTGGTAAGTAACTAAGAACCTCACCACTTTACTAGAAGCATGCAACTTTGACAATGAATCTATTCATTCCAGAAGATACTAAGAATTTTGGCAATGAATCTAAGCAAGCTCAGAGGAACACTAACTGAAAAATATGAGAAAATTCTGGTTAGGAATAACAGGAGACATGTAGGAAGTAGAATGTTGATAATGGCAGTTTTACATTGCAAGGCAAAGCAGGTGTCTGGGCAAGGCTAACAACTTAAATGGAGAAATGACGAAAGCCAAACAAGTTCAGAATGTGAATCAAGATGGCATCATATTTGGGTACAAATCAGGTAATATGAAATATATGCTGGATGATGAATTCAAGACCAGAAAATAAATACCACCTCGATTATTAACCATATGTTTTCGATACTGACTTCTGGAGACCTCAGTTCAGATCTAGGTTTAGATCTCCGGTGAATTGGTCCAGGCTACACGTGTTTTAGTGAGAAACACTCTATCAGTAATTCAGAATTTCAGTTTAGTAGAAGACCCTTCATTTAATGTTGATCTGTTACTCAAACATGTACCTGTCTGGTTGTCTTAATAAAATCTCATATTCTCATTAAAAAGAAGGGAAATGAAATTAATAATAAAAAAAGGCTCAAAGACCTCAAATTTCACCACCAAAAGATTTGGCTTGAGTGGTACGCCTCTCCAAAAGGGAGGTTGAGGGTAAACAACAATATATATACATCTGCTCAACTTTACCCCAAAAATTTTTTTAAAAAAAAAAAAAAATAGAATTTAATAATATGATTATATTAAATAGAAAAATGAAATGCACAAGATACACCAAGCAGATGCTTTTGGTCTAACAATCAAGCATATAGTTCCTCCTTAAAAGAACAAAGGCCCAAACATGAAATGAAAAGGGATATCCACAAAATCCTTTGGAACAGAGGATCAAAATTTTATATGGAAGTAAAAGAAAAGAAGAGATATAGAAAAGGTTTGGGGATGCAATAATCTGAGCAGGCGGTAGTAATCTGAACTTCAAAGATAAAGGACTTGCTCAACTTACCATCGCAGCAAAAATATTACTAAAACAAATATGCTAATTTCCAATAATCAAACCATTCTTATAATTAAATTACTAACAAGAAATGAGGATGCCTTTTTCACATAATATAGCAAACATGTATTATTTAACAAAACAAAGATTTCCTATTTTCATGTAGTATAATCAAAATGCCCCAGTTGATTCTATATGTAAGAAGTCTAAAGGAATCATTTAGATGCCACACAACCAGTTTGGCAACAAAGTAATCTTGATTGGGGTTCAGCAACATGTACAATGGTAAAAAATGGTGAGTAGACTTCACCAGCCCTGGAAATTTCTCAAAAACACTGCGGCTTAATTTTCCTCATACTAGCTAGCTGAGAGCCTGAGATTGTGTGCAAACTCAACAAGTTAATTTCCATTTTTTTCCCAAACTGCGTTAAAGTTTACATGCACTAAGTTGATCCTTCAATTTTATCATGCATCTACAAAAGGTTCATTTGGTCGATGAAGGGGTGAAACTGGGAGTTTTTCAACAGGATCTGGGGCCATTAAATACACATGTCTTGTCTTTAAAGTCATTATTTCAGCAAGAAATAAAATTTTATCCATACCAAAAATTAATTTTAGTTAAAAAGAAGGTATTATGGGCGGGTGTATAAAGGGAAAGTGTGTATCTCCACTAACACAAATCAAAGCCAAATGTATGACTACAGTTTTTACTTTTCTGATTGGATTAGCCATGTCCTTGAAGTTAGGCCTCACAATTGTGATTGTTCTACTGTTTGTTGATCGTTTGGCTGAGAGCCTTAAGAGCACAGAAGCTATCCTAGATAGATATTATTCTAGTTGCCTCAATTACGTCCTTATTGACTGCCAAGCTAAAAATGCATATATCATCACCGCATATACACGTCAGAAAAAGAGTTTTAAAATACCATGGCAAGTGTTGGTGATGAACTTGCAGTTACCTTAAATGTCAATAATATTTCATCAAATTCTAGATGAGTGCAATTTATGTGTTCAAAGACTTCAAACATCAATATCTGCTCGACTTTACATCTTTGCCCCAAAAGTGAGAGGTGACAATGACTGCAAATTCCCTTTTTCCTTTTTGTAATGAAGGAATTTAGCAAATAAAAATGAAATGTACACTATGCACACAAACAGATCACTACAGCCTAATAATGAAGTCCCACTGGACAGAAAAAGCCCAAATGTGATTAAAAAAATGAAAAGGAATATTCACAAAATCCACAGGAATAGAGGTTCAAGAGGCTTTGTGGTAGAGAAAAACAAAAAGAGGAAAAGAAAGGGACTCGTGGATGCCATAACCTCAGTGAGATGCTGATCTTGAAGAACAAAAACCTTCTCCACTTAATGGGCCAAATGTAGAACTAATTTTTTGTTATACAATTAACTGTTGGATACAAAGATTTAAACCCTACGTAGAAGAATGGGGATACTGCTTAGCTGCTATTTTTCTTTCCTTCTTCTAATTTTGGTGGATGGGGTTTGTGAAGTTCATGGTGAATAAAAAATAAAAATAAAAAAACCACAAAAATATTAGATAGTATTTCCAAGACTCTTTAGCAATAATATTAATTAAAATAAAAAATAAAAAATTACTTGAAAAGATACCACTTTTCAAGCAAACATGTCTTGAAGAGAGTGCAATAGTATTGCTAAGATAAGTGTTTTTCAATTGCAATTGTACTACTAAAATGAGAATTTTTTTCATATGTACTTGCAGAAAAAAAAAAAAAAAAAAAAAAAGTAAGTTTTTTTAATGTAGTACAATTGAACTTTCCAGTTGATATGTATGTAACAAGAAGTCTAAGGGGATCATTGGGAAGCCATACAACTAGTTTAGCAACATGGATATCTGAAAATGTTCAAGCATGCAAGAATTTTTTTTTTAAAAAAAAAAAAATCAAAAAACAAGAACAAAAACAAAAAAGTGTGGAAACTTCAAGTGTGCTAGAAGTATTCCAGAAAAACTGTGACTTGGGTTTCCTCACAATAGCTAGTTGAGATTGTATGTGAACTCAACAAGGCAATTTTTCATTGCCCCAGACAGCACTCAGGTTGGCAGCTATTTAAAATTGGTTCCTTACAACTCGTGTACTTGGAAAAGGTTCTGCTCAATGAACAAAGTGAACTTAAGAAATTTAATGGATTTGGGATCATTAAATACATTTCTTGTATTTGAGCCTTTGAGGTACACTTCAACTAGAATTGAAATTTAACGTACATATGTATGTGTTGGATTGTTGGTGGATCAAGGGGAGAAGTGTTATTGCATGATGATCCACAAACACTAATCAAAACCAAATGTGTGTGTCTACAAGGGGTTTGTTGAGCAGAGAAACGGGGCACCTCCACCACTCTTGTGCCGGCACCAAATGTAAACCACTGCTACCACCATTGCAACTACCACCACAATCATCCTTGTCCACTGCCCACCAACTCTATATCTGGTTGACATGACCAATGAAAATGTTAATCTAGTACCACCTACAACAAGTTGTGCCCCCACCACCATACACCACCATGGTGTCCAAAGATTCCATCTTCATGACCACCAATTTTCCAATGTTACATATCATCATCAACAATAACAACAAAGCACAAAGCCTTTTCCCCACTACTTGGGGTCGGCTACAAGAATCCTATATGACAATAACAACAAAACACAAAGCCTTTTTCCCAACCACTTGTGGTCGCCTATAAGAATCCTATATTCTCATTCTACTCTAAGGTAATAGGCTCAATCAAAAAATAAAAAAAGGCAATCTAGTGCATGAGGCCATTGCGAAGTCTGCGGAGTGTTAGGCGTATGCGAACCTTACCTCTGCATGCGGAGGTGTTGTTTTCCATTTTTAATCTGCACCTCTAGGTCGCAATAGAGGAACCTTACCGTTGTGCCAAGGCCTGCCCTCCCTCAATCAAACGACATGTAATCATATATTTTGACCTTCCCCTTTCTTGGCATTATCCTCAATGTAGACCATGTCACTCTCCTTAACTAGTGCACCTAGTTGTCTTCTTTGCAAATGTCCAAAACATTTTAAGTGATTTTCTCTCTTTTTTTCCTGGTGAATGCTATTTCAACCATCCCACAACCACTATGAACAATGTTAGATATCAATTATCCATATCATAGATGAGATTTAGCAAATCTAAGAACTTTTGAATCTCTTTAGTTTTACGTACTCTTCTAATAGGATAATCCGCAAGTACTCAACCATGCTGTTCAAATTCAGGTCTCCAAATTCATGTTTCCACAAACACGATGTTTCTCCTTCTTGTTGATCATCTCTCTGGCTCAAAGTTTTAAGAGCATATACGCTATCCTAGATAGAGATTGTGCTAGCTGCGTAGACAACACTTATTGTTGCCAAGCTAAAAATGGATAAGTTGTTTCCAAATATACATGTCAGCCACAGTTTCCCAAAATAGCAAGGCAAGAGCCACTAACGTCCTGCTGTTGCCATGGCAGTCAATAATATACTTAACAATCCTAGAGAAGTGCAGTTTATATGTCAACTCATCATACTAATTGCCTGGGATTGCCCAAATCATGAACCAAGTGTTGATGACTCGTAAGTAGTTATATCTTAACTATCAAGGTACGTTCTAGCTTTTGCAAATATCACAACAGCACTAAGGTTTGCTGTTCAATTTTGCTTCTACTTTCCTCGTAAAATATATCAAGATGAACCGTATTTTGTTTCTATGGCCAGTTCTTTTTTTTTCTATCTACAGAGAATGCTAAAATGGCAGTTCCAAATATGTGAACAGCCACATTTTCAAAGAACATATGCAAAAGTTGCAAGAAAGGAATGCTCTCCAAATTAAAAACCTCACCAAACTACATAGATCTATATATATAATTATATTACAAACATGGAAAGGTTCAAGAAGTGAGAAAACTACACCACTATACAGTATGCAGGCACTTTGACTCATCAAGTTCTAAAATCAAGCAAATACATTTGCAGTAATTAAAAACATCAAATGCCAGAAAGTTCCAATTAACTATACAGCACCTATAAATCAGCTTATTACCGTAAAAAGAACATCTGGAATGGAATCACCAGGCCTAGAAGCCATGAATGTCAGAGAGAGAGAGGAATAAAAATGGATGAATAAATAATAAGTCAAGAAGTTGAGGTGTGTGTGTATATATATATAATTCACAAAAGAAGAGGCATGTCAACCCACGTGGATGAGACCATATGTGCCTCCAACCAGCTATATTGCATTACCTTTGGGCCGAAAAGGCGGTTATATTTCCTAATATTTTCCAAAGCCTTAGTAACCCCCTCTTCCTGCTGGTGGTGCATCGATGTCACTGTTGTCAACTTACTAATGGGTCGAGAGCATAAGGGGCACTTGCAAGGCTTTGAACCATCATTCCACCACCGCAAAATGCAACCAGCTGTACAAGGAAAAACACCAACTTCACGACAAATAACTTTAAAGCAAAAATTCCAATTTGATGGCAAAGAAGAAGAGTAGTAATTTAAACACGATATATTTTCCTAAAAGTAAACTAGTTTTTTACTTCGAACTATCTGTTGAAAGAACATGTTTTAGTAGAAAAGTGTCTTCTCCCAGATGCTAGAGTTGTGGGATCCAGAGCACTGGCGCAGAACAGGAAACCAACAACATCCCTACTGTGAAGATGAAATTTCAGACATTCCCCAAGTCAGACTGACTGTAACATTGAAATTTATTTACTTAGTTCTTAATAAATAAATAAATAAATCATTTTTGCTTCCTTGGTACTGCTACAGGTCATTCCAGATAACTCACCCAAAAAAAGTTTAATCTCGTTAAACATGAAAATAAGAGATCAAAAGGGACACAGGCCTCAGAGAAATAGAGAACTTTGAACCATCTTATTGCCAACATTTTAATCGACGACACCTAAATTAAGTTAGTGTAAGTGGGCATGTCAAGCTGACTATGGAATAAGATTTTCTTCATAATTTATGAAGTATAAAATAATATCTGTTTTTGTATTTTAGTCGATGTTACTACAGGTCAATCTAGGTGCAATTCACATGTCCAGAAAAAGTCTTGTCAAACACAAGTTTCATAGAGATGTAGAGAATTTTGGCCCATCTCTTGATTCTTTCGATTCATGATACTAGAATTAGCGAAAGCATTTACTTGTGCTTGTGGTGAATCGTTCAATCATTACATAGAATTGAGTCGTTTCTAGTTCCCGAAGGAACTAAACCCCTCCCCCACCACACATACACACCCAAAAACTACGCAGGAAGGAGCAACACAAATGTTATTTCAAGTGACAAATGTCAACTACATTATATAGAATTGAGTTGTTTCCTCAATAATTGGGATAGTGGGATACCGATTCATGATAACAGTCTGCTGGACGACATTAAAATTTAATATCAATACAAACATTTTTCTATCCAATCAAAATACTCATCCTTACTCTTCCACTTGCAAGCTTGAACCCTCCTGCTTCACATGTATTACTACTAGCTCCAAACCTACAAAGGAACCCCAAGTTCTCCAGAATCCAATATTTTCTAGGGGAGCCGAAATATTGGTTATTCTCCAATTGAGTACTCATTCGCAAGGCATACCTTTTGTCTAGAAGACCATTCAAATATTCTAGATTAACTCTTTAAAAAGTGAGGATAAAAGGTAAATTTTATACAAGGGATACTGTGTAAAAGATTGATAAATGGGGATTTAGAAAGGAAAAAAGTCGAACATACTTTTTCCTACCAAAATATAATAGATTAACTCGGTAAACAGGGAATTATTGTTCAACAATCTTTCAAATAAGAAGGGTTATTTGCAAGAATCTTAATAAAGCTCAACAGTCAGAAACCAGAAATTCCGGAAAAGATAATCGAGCGTGCCAGTTGCCACACATCATTAACCAAAATTATAAAAACAAGCAAGTAATTCACCATCTCAGGTCCAAAATGAAATATCTCACATTCAAATTTCTCCCCTTTTTCCTATAGTTTCTCATTAACCAAACGAAACCTCATGCAAGAAACAAGCAACAAAAATATGTAAATCCTTTTTAAAACTTCAGGAAACAAATGAAATGCAAGACAAATTAGACAATCCTCATGCTTGTTTGGTTGCCGAGAAAATGGAAGAAAGGAAACAGAGGATCGGGAATTTTGGTACTGAGAACTCACCGCAGTACCAGTGGCCACACTGAGTTCGGGAAGGAATGCTGAAGGCGCCCAAAGGCCCCAAACAGATTGGACAAGAGCCATCGGAAGGAGGAGCGTTGGAGTCTCTCGTGCTAGGGTTTGGATCGGAACCTACCATTCTCTCACTAGGTCCCTCCTCCATCTCACTCAATTTATATCCTCCACGTCGCTCTTCTCCTCTCTAATAAAAGTGTCGGAAGCTTTTTCCTTCTACTTCAGGTTTTGATTCGACTTCTTAAGCTTACGCATTCAATAATTTCGTCATATATATCTATATACGTACATATATATATATATATGCATAAATCCAACTGAATTGGATGTGTTATGCTGTCCTGATGGCGGTAAAGTCTAAAATGATGAGCTCCTGTCAATTTTAGCTTCGTGCCAATTCTCGCTATTTGTCTTTTGCGCTTTCAACAAAGAGTCACTTAAAAGGCCCTCAAATGGATCTAAATTACCAATAGGCCACAACAAAGGCTAAATGACTTCAAGATTTGTCCAATTATCAAGAGGGCAACAAAGGCAAAAGCGCGCACATTATAAATGCTAGACATAGCAATTGATTTTTTATTTTTATTTCTTTTATTTTATTTTATTTTGCAAGAAAAACAATCCATACACTAAATCCCTCTCTTCATGAGAATGGGAATGTTATATTTTTAGGATAGTACAAAGCATTTATGGAAGCATGGTTTGTGTCAAAAATAAGAAAACATTAATGAAAAATGAGTACAATAGCATTCAAGTTTTTTTTATCCAAATATACTGCTGAATTAAGGCTATGTTTGCAACTATTTTTATTTCATATTTTTGTTGCCAAATCAAAAAAAAAAAAACAAAAGATTAACATAATAATGAAAAATGAACACAACATCATTCCAATTCTTATTAATCTAAACATGTTGGTTAATTAAGGATCTATTTGACAATCAATTTTATTCAAGTTTTTTATTGTCAAAGTCAATAAAATATAAAACAATGTTTGTTACTTAGTAGCATGATTGTAATTTAGAAATAAGATGGATATCATTGGAAAGAAGATTTCAATGCGGTCAGTTTAGGCACAAATTTGACCCAGCCGGTTTTAAATTAAAAAAGTTAAGGCATTTAAGGTTAAAAATCAAAGCGCGAATCTGCTCAGAACCGATTCGCTTTGGATTTTGGATGGAAGCCCATCAATAAAACCCAAATTATACAATGCAACTGGTTCCGAGGAGCGAAACCAGTTCCCTATGGTCAGAATGCATACAAATTGGCCCCAACCAGCTTGTTTTGAGTTGCACACTGTTGCATTTGTTTTAGGAACCAAAAATAAAAAGGAAAAAATAGGTTTTTACTTACTTTTGCTATTGTAGTTACAGTAAGAAGAAAAAATAAACTAGGTAAAGTACAGCAATATTCTTTTTGAGGTTTGTCACATATGAAATTTAGCTACTTTTAAAACAAAGATACCTTTGATACAATTATCAAAGATACTCAAGGATAATAAATTGATATTTTTTTCCTTTTAAATGGACCAATTTAAATATTAAAATAACCTTTCTAACCTTCCTAATCTATTTCTTTCCTTCTCTCCTCTCTCTGGGTTCTCTTCCTCTTGCAACACCAACACACATCTATATATATATATATATATACACACGTATATACAGATACATACATACATATATATATATACACGTATATACAGATACATACATATATATATATATATATATATATATCCACACACACAAGGCGACGACGAGCTGTCGTCAAGGAGAATAGCACCGGTGAATTAGATGATGATGTTGGTTGCAACAGATCGCGTGAACTTCACGCGCCCACAATCGTCTTCTTCCTTCAATACCCACTGCAGCCGCCGCCGCCACAACACCCACCACCACAACCACCGCCACACAATCGTCTTCTTCCTTGTAAACTGGGCTTCATCGTAGTTGGTAGTTGATGCACTCTTTGATGGGTCACGGAATACAGGATCTACTGTCCTGTCCTATAGCAGCAAGTCTCCCAAGCAAGGCCGATTCCATATTCAATTGAACATAAAAAAAAAATGTCTTTGGCTGTGAAGGGACCAAGATTGCTGGGTCTACCATTTGCTTGCCCAATCGCACACGGTAGGGATTGAATTGTAGGCAATCAGTTAGATCAATCATTCTTTTAGTAGCAGAAATTGCGGAAAATGGGGGTCAGAATGGAACTTCTGACCACCGGCTTCACTTCATTCTTGAAAAAAACACCCCACTGATTATTGGCGGCAAGGTTGGCCTTCTAAGCAGCTGAATTAACGGCATCGGGTAAGACGAGCTCTAAAGATGAAAGGGTTTTTAGGTTCCTTCTCTCTTATGCTTAGTTTCTTATCAAATTCTACTCTACCGCACCCACACCCACACCCCTATATACCACCATCATCACCGGACCACCACCACCGACCACCACTCTTTTCAACACCATCCCTCCTGAAAATTAACACCCAAAAGCCATACCCAATTTTCTTTTTCTGTGTTCATATACATATATATATACCACTCGTTTCATTAATATATACTGAAGAAATTTGTTGTGTTGTCCTTTCTTGGTCGGTTTTCTTTCTTTGTTCGTTGTGTGGCTGTGAGAGAGATAGACGCGACGGTACTTTAGAGAGAGCGGGCAAGGGTCACAAGCACGATGGTGCTCAAGCCTGAGCTCCCATTAGACCACTTCTCGGAGAGAGGGGGCATAACTATTATACCCTGAAGATGTCTAGAAGCATATCCCAGCAATCTCCAGCCATTGGAACGATGAACGAGAAGATGGTCCAGCGTTTCCTCCTCCATCTTGCACATGAAGCACCGGTTCATAAGGGTCGGCCCCTTCTCTTCAAGCCAAATTATTTTCCTGGTCCAACTTTTCATTTCTTTATGATGATGCGTATGTAAAAAATGGTCCATGATCGAACTTTAGTCTCATGGTCCAATCATTAGCCTAATGATGTTCTTTGCTAACTTCACTGCAAAACCAAGTTTCAAATATAAATGCTATATGTCAAGATGTTCTTTGCTAACTTCACTGCCAAACCAAGTTTCAAATATAAATGCTATATGTCAATATTGGGTGCCGTTGTTCTTTTATCTGCAATAGTTTTCGAAAGAAAGAAATAAATAAATAAAAACATTTTGATACTGAATCCATGCCCATCCAAAACCTTGTCCTTATTCCAAAAAGAATTATTTATTAGGGAACACTTTAAATTCTTCAAAAAAAATCCAAGAATCCTTAATTGAAATGGGATTCCAACTCAATGCCTTTTGAGTGAAATTTTGAAAACAGTTACGAAGAGTTTTAAGCTATATTCAAGAAAAATTATTATTTATCGTTACCCTTTACTGAGGTAGAATCACTCGGGGACCTAATTTACTCTCTGATTGCGGATGTCGACACTTCAAGTCTGCTTGTCTCTAACTCAACTTCACCTATACAAAGTTATATAATAGCACCCAATTAATTCAATTAGCATAAATTAAGATTAGAAAAAAAAAAAAAAAAAAAATTAGTGTCAACTATATTGATTTATTCATATTAATCCTAATGTGTGAAGTAAAATTTGCTTCCACTTATCGCCTTGCAAAAGTCCCTACCATGGTTGTTCCTCTCACCCCAACTGTCAACTTTGACATCATGTACAATTTAAGTACTTTTTGATTTTTTTTAACCTAAAGATATCAAAAAACTAAACTACCCCTAAATGTTTTGAAATTTTATAATTATATATATTCATATATATATATATATATACACACACACACATATATAACCTAAAGATATCAAAAGACTAAATTATCCCTAAATGTTTTGAAAATTTACAATTATATATATTCATATATATATATGTACGGTATATATTTGAGGCAATTTTTTTTTTTTTCTCCTATATATTTGAGGCAATTACAGATACCCTTATTAATAAGGAAAAGTGAAAAAATACACTCCTGAATTATTGACTTTTTGCAACTAACCCCCCTAAACTATTGATTTGTTACCATTAAGGACAAATCCATCACAAAAGACTATTTTACCGTTTCTTATTAAATTTGCCATTTTTTATTAAATTATTTTTTTATTATATTTTCTCATATTTAAATATTAATTATACTTAAAATTAGTATCAATTGATTATAAAAATAGAAAAAAAATAAATAGATTTGTAGCTATCATTTTCTAAAATGATTAACTTATTATAATAGAACTTATTATACTCACTTTAAAAAAATTTAATATAAAAATATATCTTCTTTTCCAAACAATATTCCTGAAAAAATAATAAATTACGTAAATAAAAAATATCTTCTTTTTAATGCAATATATTCATGAAAATTAAGAAATTACTTAAATTGTTTCAAAATTTTCTATTTAAGATTTTTATTTAAATAATTAATTAAAAAAATTAAATCCAAACTTATGCAAATTTAATGAAAAATATTTCATCAAATTAGCGTGAATCTTTTTCATAATTTATCTCAACAAGAAAAATATAAGTGTAATTTAATAAGAAATGGTATTATGGTCATTTAATGAAAATAGGTAAGATAATGGGACATTTTGCAACTAAATATGATAATTTAAGAGATTTTATGTACAAAATATAATTTAGGTGGTTATTTACAAATTTAAACATAGTTGAGGATGGATTACTTTATCCTTATTAATATTACCCACCCTTATGTCTAGGAGGGGCTGACTAGAAAGATATACCCACTAGTGATGAAATAGAAAGAAAACTATTCCTCCACTACTTGATAAAGCAGCAGTTCTCAACCGATTAACAGAAGTGTTTCTAACAGAAGTGCTTGTTGAGATGCTTAACACATGAGAGTCTAACAATGTTCATAAGCTCAAAAGCCATACAATGCCCCTTCTTTCTTTACCGTACCGAACCATCACTAAAGCTGTGGACATGAATGTAATTTCAAAATCCTACTCACCTCATTCTCCCCTATCTCGAACACAACCATTTTTACTCCCGTCAAAAGCAGCGACCACCTTCTACACAACCACCACCGCAACCGGTAACTGCCGCAACCGGGGACGGAATCAGAATTTCAAGTGAGGGGGGCACGTTGTCAAAAAAAAAAAAAAAAATGGAGTGTGTGTGTGTAACTATTATAAAATTTGAAAGACAAAGGAAAAGAAAATTATTCAAATATGCAGGTTAAAAAGAAGAATTTTAAAAGTAGAAGTAGAAAAAGAAAAATGAAAGAAAAATGAGAGAATTTTAAAAAGAAAAAAATTAAAAAGCTTCAATTGAGGAAGGAAATTTTGACTTTTTCTAATTAAGGAAATTTAACGAATTTAAAGAGTAAAAAAGAAAATAAAGAGATAATTTTAGGAACTACAAAATTCAAGGGTGGCACTATATATTTTTTTTATATATATGAAAAAAATTTAAAAAATTATCAACTATATTATAGAGTGCTGGCCAACTCAGGAAGCACATGTACCCGAAGCCTTCATTGACTTCGTCCCTGGCCCGCAGCAGCAGTACAGCCGCAACACCATCCCCATCTCATAGCCGCCGCCGCCGCCGCCGCCGCCACCTCACCCCACAACCTCCTACAGTATCTCATTATAGACTGCCACATCATTAAAAACTGGGACATTTTAGTAATCTTAGAATCCTAACATCCCTCCATTTTCCCTCTGCCTGCCATCGACATAAATAATGGAAGGGAATTTGAACAGGTTGTTTGACATGGAATTTCAAGACGCAAGTGATCTTAATACAATATTTAGGTTTTTATTCTTTTTTTTATTTTATTTTAAAAGATGATACCAAGAACCTATTTGGTATGCGTTTTATTTTTGCATTTTTATTTTAATCCAAATTAAAACAAGTGTTTTTGTTGACAGCCAAATACCTATTGAGATTTTTTTGAATATATTTTTGAATGTTTAAGTGTTTATTATTAAGTGATACATGAAATCGGTGTCACTTAAAATTGTGCCCAATTTTAAATGATATTGAAATTACGTTAATAAGACGCTCATAAATAAGTGCTGAATTAATGAATTATCAAACAATACGTAATTCTAGTATTAAGAATGGTTAATGAAATTCCAAATATGAATGCTAGGATGGTAAAAATCAGAACTCATTTGGCAATACTCATGAGATTGAGAATCAATAGGCATCCACACCAATTTTCTTCATGATCTTCACATCCTCCTACAACGTGGTTAAGAAAGTTCCCACTAAATCTTACAATAGTGGTTTAATAAATATATTTGAACTCCTAAAAGGTGATTGATCAATTAATAGCCTAAATGAGACACACATGATGTCAAATTGGGTTACACAAAGTTCGAGCAAAAACCTTGTACTGATGGTAAGAATCAGTTGCCTCGTTTGGACTTTCCATTAGTACCGTCTTGTATCCTACCTGTCCTCATCGCACCATAAAAACATGTCTAAGAATAAAACATTTTTAACAAAAGAATACTCACATGTTTATGTGCAGTAGTAATTAAAGATTTGTGAATGGATCGAATTTTAATTTTAATTTGATTTAATAATTCAAAAATAAATTGAAAATTTAATTCAAAAATAAATATCCTTTGGGAAAGGTTACATCTGAGAAGAGTTCAAAGGCAAGTAAATCTTTGTTATATTTTATTTTTAATTGTATGATATTATAGTTTTATTATAATTGTGAGTTATTAATGAGGCATAAGACTGTTAGTATAACATGTTCATTAGGAATTAACGATGGAGTTTTAGGCTAAATAAATCTCTGGACATGCCCATGAGAGTTGAATTTATTTTAATTGATTTATGTGGATTATTTGATTGCACGATTATATACATGTATAGTCTCGTATACATACACACACGTGGAGCAAGGCTGTTTTGGAAAGACCTTGGTTAATGATAGCTAAATATGGACCGATAGTGATTTAGGTAGGGTTTGTAATTTTCTGATTCCATATATATATGTGTGTGTGTGTGTGTGTGAGAGAGAGAGAGCATTAACTTAGTTACTGTAATTCAGTAGATCAAATGGTGATTTTTGGGTGGTGACTAGATGTGATTTGAAATAGGTTGCCAAGGAATTAATCTACTGGATATTTGTATGGAGATGAGCATTTAATTTCTGAACCTTAATATTTCATCCTTGAGGTCAAATCTTTAGAATTAATCTATTGAGGAGTGGAGAGTTAACCATATATATGTTCTGATATAGGTTTGAGGTTGATGAACTTGGAAATTTTAATGGTAATTTAACTTGAATTTGGGTGTGCGGACATCAGAGAGGAAGATATATGATATTAAATGTTCTGTATATTGTTTTATCTATGGGAAATAAGATAAATATAGCTATAAATGTCAGGGAATCCCCTAATAATTACAGGCAATTTATTATGGGGTGTGATTATTCATATAGAAATTGGACTTAATTTAATAGATGGGTTTTGGGTCTATTTGATTAAACAGTTCCAAAAAAGTTTAACATTTGGGAGAAATAAGAATTGTTGTTAATTAATTATTTATTTAATTATGTTGGATTGTGATGGTTATATGAAGTTATAATCTAAGTACTTTAAGAATTATATCAAGTAGTTGTACTCATTTCATAATTAGAAGCCAAGGGTGGGATTCGTTCCTTATCTATTATTGGTTGGTTGAATTCGTTCCTTACTACATACTGAAAGGTTTGATTCATTCCTTACTTATTTTTGGTTGGTTGGATTCGTTCCTTATCACGTATAAGTAGGTTGGATTCGTTCGTTATTCGAAATACCGAAATTCAAGCAAGTACTTGTGTGATAATTGATTAATTATCGAAAGGTTAATGGTACCTTAATTATTGAAGTTGGGAAGCTATTTACTTCATATAATAAAACCAAGGGGGAAGAAGGTTTATAAGTATTGTATGCTATGATATTCTGTACAACCGATTGTAACGTGTAATAAAGGTTTACTTGTTGAGCTGTGAGATCATCCTTTATTTAAACATTTTAGGTAAGGTGCCTATGGAGCATAATTGATGATGTTATGACGAGCTTATTTGATAATTGTTTTAGTTGATATCTATTTTATGTAGACATTTATTGAGTAGAATAATGTAATTATTAGATTTTGTTCCTTGTTGTTTATATGGAATACTTTATCTTTTGCTTATATGTATGGTTATTTATTTCCAGTAAAAAAAGTTAGTTATTTGTTCAATGATGAGATTTAAGCTTTGGTCATGCCATGTAATGTTTTTGGGTGACAAAACTCTTTATTGAAATTGAGGCGTGACAGTTTTTAAACATATATTATTAATACTATAATATATACTACTAATATTTACATGCTGTCAGAATGATTTTATAATAATTTTTTCTTCTTCCTCTTTCCATTTTTTCTTAAGTATTTTTTATTTTTATTTTTAATAAATAAGTATTTTTTATTTAATTAATAACAAATTGAATATAAATTTATTAATGAATTATTCATCAAATTATTCATCCTAATAAATAATCGGATTCGGATCCAACTAGTCCAATTCGCAATATGTTTACGGATATAGTGGTAAAAGTGAAGAGAGAAAAGAGACCAGGGTATCTTTGTGTGAAAATTCAAAATATCCCATATTGGATGAGGATGAGTCGGCTGTTTACAGCTTTTATATAGCCGTTATAAAATGCCCTTCTGCATTTTCTCTCTCGTCACAACCCCTCCCTCTCCAGATTACCGCCTCTTCTCTCTCTCTCTCTCGGGCCTCACCACCGCCGGCAGCCCTCAACCCCACCTCGCCGTGATCTCCGACGATCAATTTCGTCAACCTCCTATCTCTTTGTGGTGCCATGGACCGTATTCCCGATACCGCAGTTATTCTTGTCGTAGCCGACGATGATCCTATGGAGATGGACGAAGACGACGAGGAGTCGGTGCTTCCGACTAGTAATGATGAGTCGGTGGATGATGATGATGATGATTCGATGCCTCCGACAAATGACGAGGCTTGGGTGGCTCCGACTAATGATGATGAGTCGGTCTACGATGATGAGTCGGTCGATGATGATGATGACGATGACGACTGGGTGCCTCAGAATAGTGACGAGGCTTGGGCTTATTATGAAGATGTTGAGGATGGGTCGGTGCCTGCAACTAATGAGGAGGCTTGGGCTTGGTACTATGATGAGGCTAATGAGGAGGCGGGTTGGGCTATGCAGGACTCCATGGACTACTATGTCTTGAAGCTGGTACCAGCGAGTGAGTCATCCATTCAGGCGTTGGACAAACTGAAGTCTTCTCCTGATGATTTATGCACCATTTGTCTTGAAAACTTCTCTGATGGTGACTTGAGTACTCGGATGCCCTGCTCTCATATATATCACGAACACTGCATCGTTCAGTGGCTCAACACGAATCACTCCTGCCCAGTCTGTCGTTTCGAGATGCCAACCAACTTAACTTGATAGGTTGTATTAAAGATTGTAATTTGAAGCTCAATGTACCTATTTGTATAAAGTTTATTCTTTTGGCATATAATGAAACTTTATTTTACACTCCATTTCTGGTTTATGCTGTTGTTTACTGTCATTGTTTCATAACCCAATTACTTGTTTGATAAATTGCAAAATACTCTCTGATAATTGCAATCCTGCCATACATGCTTATAGCAAATTCACAGAGTCCAAGGAAGAAAAAGAAAAGTTAAAAAACATGCTCATAGTTCATTTGCATCCAAAGCTAAAACATTAAAGGGAATGCTGCATAGCATGACCACAAATAAATTAAAACAAAGACTCCTACTATTACCGCTTCTAATACCATTATTACATAGTTTTATTGGATTTAACAAGGTCACCATTAACAACTTCTCTCCTGCTTCCCTTTATTTTCCATTGGGGCTGTCTCCGTCAGTATTTAATGCAACTTCCGGTCAGGACACATTCCCTATCAAACAGAGCTGACACAACTGCAACACCTTTGAGATTTGGGACGGTTTATTTCCATTACAGACCGTGCATTTGAAATCCCGACACCACCTATGGCAACCACTGGCAACTTTGAGGCCAAACAAACAGTTAATGTAATCAGAGCCATCTGTCTATGCTTGTTGAGCTTGCTCCGTTGTCTTGCATGATACACCAATGATCTTTTCAGGCCCAAGAAGAGAGCGGACAACATGGACAGGCAAGTCAGACTGGCCAACATGCACGCCGTCAGCATCTCAAGCCATAGCAACGTCAATTCTGTCATGAATCAGCAGAGGTACACTGCGGGAACGACAAATTTCCAAACATGTTTTGGCTGCTTCCAGAAAGTCCCGTGTTTCAGCATCCTTTTCCCTTTAAACATGAGAATTTTACAGTTAACACCAATAGATGCGTATGACAGGTCAAGCTAAGATTCTAACTATTCATAAACTTGAAAAGCTCTTGGAAATCACATCCCATGTGTTGTATACTGATTAATTTTGGAGGAGATTTGACCAGATATTTGTACTAAAGTCGTGAGGAAATTGTCCACATAAACAGAAGAAACTAATTGTACGTAAATGGGACACTCATAATGCATTGACAGCATTTTCAAAACCGAGTTCTTGTATACACAACTCTTCTTAATTATGTATGGTACTTTTTTCCCACCAAAAAGTGTGAAATGTAGAATCATCTTCCCCAAATCCACTTATACTAAATAACTTAATAATGTTCCAACTTTTATGCAGAAATCCAGGTCCAGTTACTTTCTGTTACTGCCAAATCAGTCAGTAACAAAATAGTATTAGGGTACCCTTGCATATGACCTACATATTTGAGTAACTGAACAATAACTGGGTTTGACCATGTAAGTTTCAGCATCCCGATAGATGAGTTTCCTGAGTCAATTAATCAAAAGCCTAAACCAGATCAATCACCAATTCTCTCTCTATATATATATCAATCAGCCAAGAACTTGAAGAAAAAAAAAATAACAATCACAATCACAACCACCATCTGCAGCTGCTTCTTCTTCTTCTTTGCCTCCAAGCTCAACCACGACCACCAATCAATCACGGGAACCATAACACCACCACCACCACCTGAATGCCCGAAATGACCCTCTCATACCACCACCACTCTCTCTGCCCACTGGTCCTTCACACCACCTGCCAAATTTCCCAAATTTGCGACCTAACAATTTCGAGAGAGATTGGAATCGTGGTGATAGACGGCTCGACGGTGGGGACTTTATCGGCGATGTGACTTTATCTGCGATGAATCCACACCATAGCCGACAGTGTGGTTTTATTTTCTATTTTTTTGGTTATGGTGTGGATTCAAGATTAGGGATTGTATTCTCAAAGCCCTATGAATTGAGTTAGTTTGAAGGTATATTGGTGGCCTGATTTGAAGGAGGAAGGGCTAGGGTTTGGTGGAAAAGTTGCAGAATAGGTACTAGCATTTGGGAAGAAGACCCAAATTTTGGGTTGGTTGCACTTCCCCACTCACAACAGGGTTGTTTTGTGTTTCTTCTCCGATGAACACTTCCTCTGAAAATTCTTGTTCGGACAATCTTTAATTGAAGAATTAACAAGCTATACATATATATATACACAGAAAGAATAGAGGAGAGAAGAGACATTCAGGGCGTGGTCAACCAGAATATCCGATGTGAAGAAGATGAACAGTAATATATATATATACTCGTATTATATAAATGTGTGCGTGTGTGTAGACCACTTATTTTCTCTAAACCTCCAGTAGAGTTCATGTCTTTTTTTCTTTTCGTTCTCTTTATCTTCATTCCCCTAGATCTTGTACCAGCTCAATCCTAGGCCATGTAATATGGTCAAAACATTTAATCATACCATATTACTCTGTACATCTATTGCATGAATGCATCCGTATCCATCCTATTCTTCTCTTGCAACCCATTGCATCCTGTCGATTTTGTACTGTCAAGAATGGCAGGCCCTCTAAGCCAATTGAGGATAAGAAAAGAGAAGCCTAATAAACCAAGCCAATTGGATATGATTCAGGTCTATCATCAACTGCAAGACTCAATTAAAAGCAGTCCCACTGTTTATATCATTATTAACAGCCAAATACTGAGATTAGGTCTTACTTTTCTGAAATTTCAAGTTACTAAACTATAAGAAACTTTTTGGGGCTCAGAAATAAAAGCATATAATTCATTACCTCGACAGCAGTTAGCATTGGAGAACCTTTTGCTAGATCAGCTGCTATACATGAAGCTAAACTGCAACCAGTACCACGAGTATTCCAAGTTTCTACTCGTGATGAACATAGCTCAAAGAAATTTTCACCTACAAGAATAAATCACAGAATAAATTAACCTATGCACAAGCGAGTGCATACACATGCTCACACCTAAGGGCAGGTAGCAAAAATTCTATTACTGCTCAAAGATTCTATAGAATATGTAGAACATACCATCAAAGAAAACATCAACAGCATTCAATGAAGCAGGGAGGTGACCTCCTTTTACAAGTACATTTCTCAAAGCAATATCAACAATATGTTACATTTTATTTTATTCTTCTTCTTCCTCTTAGTTATTCTAAAAGTAATTTTCATTACGAAAGTAAATGGAACACCATTAAGTAAACACCTGGAGTATGCAGAAAATAGCAGGAGGACCAAAAAGAAAAGTAGATGCAACAGGAAATGGTGATCCAGTGAGGAAGGAATCATGTAAACACTTCAAGAATGATCAGAATGGTACAATGTCATGTGATTCACATCCATTATCCATACATTCAAGGAAAAGTGAGGTGACCACAAACCACAGGAGGTCAGGTCAATGTGTAATTTTCCCACTCATGGCAGAGAGTTGCAGAATACAGTTTCAGTAGCTTCGTGAAGGTATGCATAATTATCAAAAAGATGCATAATTATCAAAAAGCTAAAAAGTTCCACTGGATTTTGCAAGAATTAACCTTGGGCCCATATCATGTATGCATTTTGCAGCAGAACACATGTCAGCAACAGTTTCCAATTGTACACTACCAAGCAAAGCAGATGCCTCTTTTAAATTTGGAGTTACTATGTCAGCCATGTGAAGAAGCACCTCCCTATATTCAGGAACCAAATAAACCATGATTACATGATTCATGAACAAGTAAAATGGATTAAAATGAGAAGTAATAATTAGAGAAATATCATAAGATAAAGTACCTTAATCACACCCCACCCACCCCACAAGAAGCACGTAAACCAACTAGGCTTTTTGCTTAATGAACCTTCTAATGAAGGTTGCTAAACAAAATTGGCCCTAAAAGCATGGATATGTCTCATCTTTAACTTCAAGTATTGACACGAGCAGGAACTGACCCATACTCAAGTGCATCAGACGGGGAGCTTTATTCGGCCACAGATTTGTACTATCTCCTTTTGGAGAGAGTATCACCGCTCTATGTTTAGATATAAAAGAGTAGTGCTTCTCTCTCTCTTTCTCGCTCTCACACACAAACAAACAAACAAAACAAGCACGCTGCTTGCATTAATTTCCAGAAATTTTAGTTGCTGGAAATTCAGATGATTGATTATTCAGGCTTAGGATGTAATTTTAGTTGCTGGACATAATGACAGGGTGATGCTCAAGAGGTGTTACTAGAGTCTCTCTTCTATGAATTAAACTTAACTATTTTGAGCACTGAAACAGACAAAAGCTGTCCATTTAACCTTGTGAGTTAAAGGATATGCAAGTCCCTAATGCCTAAGTCCTTCATGGAGGTTAACACATCAGTTTGCGACGTCGGCTCAAAACCCTGCACTGCACAATTCGACTGGAGGCAATTCGTGTGCCAAAGATGATTGGAACTTGTTGAGAGACGAGATATACTGGTTTGTTCCACAAAGTGGTAGCGAGAACTTTCTGTCCTGATGGGAGGAGCATCTAACTCGGGAGGATGATTGGTGGGAAAGTGGCAATGCCTCTTTTTGAAAAGACAAAGTTTGTTATATTTTAGAACATAAGTAATATACATGAATGTCTCATGTTTAATCAATAATCCGGCTTGGAGGAGCAGAGTGATCATAATTACATGAACCATGTATATATATGTGTGTGATGTCCTTCCCGCCTTTTGGGAATTTACCTTGTTCACATGTCCAATTTGCAGGGCCGGCCCTGGCCCAAGGCGACCAAGGCGGTGGCCTTGGGCCTCAGATTTTAGAGGGCCTCAAGGGGATGGAATAAAAATAAAAAAAAATTAGTTAGGGCAAGTTTCAGACGACACAATCTGCTTCGACACTCCGCAGGGTGCAGCCTCCGCTATCGCCTGAGGTGACAAGGTATGTTCATCCTCTCTCTCTCTTCTATTCTCTCTCCTTTTGCATGAATCGATCTTTTATATATGTTTCTTTCTTTCGTTCATCTCATCATTTGATTTGTTCTAACCCTGGTTCGTTTGATTCGGGCCTTCCAATAGTGAAAAGTAGCTAGGGTTTTGTGTGTGTCACTGTGT